TCCATGAGCACAGGATACAGACAGAAAACATCAGTATCGTGTTTCAGCATTATAGAGAGACCAATATAAGAAACACATAAAGCAGGGGCGTGTCCAGAGGAGGGCGGTCACTGGCCACCCCTCAAATCTGATTGGCCACCCCAAATGCCACCCCATTATCCTTACCTCTTTTACTCCACACTGTCTTACAGAGGCTGTAGTGGGCTCCGTTTTAAAGCTAGAGTGATACGGGTATCATATGAAGCTAGATGACCAACCACACCGTGCTAGCATGTTGGGAAGGGAGCTACATAACGCGCCAATGTTAAGCTGAATTTTGACGATGGAAAAACTGGCATGGCCATTTTCAAAAGGGGTCCCCTTGACCTTTGACCTCAAAATATCTGAATGAAAATGGGTTCTCTGGTACCCTCAAGTCTCCCTTTTGCAGACATGCCCACTTCATGCTAATTCCATACAGACTTTTGCATGTGGTTTTCAATTATTTCACAACTTTTCAAAAAATATTGTGAAATACTGAGGGCCACACCTTGGTGACTTAAATGGTGGTACTCAATAAGAAGTAAGGGTACTCATGTGGACAAAAATCAGAAGCCCATTTTAAGGCAGATGATAAAAATGATAATCTCATAATCTGTCAGACATCCACTATAAAAACATTGGATTAGTACAAATATTCCCGACACGTTTTGACCTTCAACACTGAAAGTATACCAATATACAGTATCTGTGTATGTTTTTCAGACAGTATAAAAGAATAGTTTTTCAGACAATGTCCCAGTGCCAATGCCAACTTACATTCTGCATATGAGCTGCGGTATGGGCTTACATAAGCACACTGAATGAAGCCAGTGTAGTGTTACCATTGTGTATTCTTTTCACTGTACCATCTGGCGACTCGCACTCCTCCACTCCCCCCCATTCTCCATTACTCCCTCACTTTCTTTCTTTGTTTATGTTTTCCTCTGTCACCCTGTGCCTCCCCGTCCATCCTTTGCGCTTTGAGGAACGAGCTGGTGACTGTGCAGATGTGAGGATGACTCCAATGTTTTAGCGGCGAAATGCTTGGCTCCTTTGTGTCAGCAACACAGCAGCCAATTGTCTCTGCTAAACAATGACTTTAAAAAAAAACTATTGTTGGCGAATCACATTTTATTAACAATGAGAACAAACAATGTTCAAATCTAGAGGGAACTGGGGGGACATTCTTAGGGAATTACTGGCATTTGCTATCAAAAAGCTGCACCACAACAGTTTTGTTTGTATAATAATTAGACAATATAACAAGCTGTCTAATCTCTGCTCTATTATTTATCCTTACAATGCTATTACTGGTGCCACAGCGAAATTAATGGATTCTCAGACAGCATCTGAAGAGGGCTTTGGCAGAATAACTTAGATCAATGCCCTCATCTATCTATCCGCCTGCCTGCTGGGATCTCAGATGGTTTCTACGCCGCTGTTCTTCTAACTTTACAGCGCATCAGGGCTTTATGATTACAGCCGCACTTTCCTTACAATACTGTGAGATAAGGAGGTTCATTTTCAAAACTTTCAAGTGATCTGTTTCAATATTGTTCTCCAATACAATTACTATACTCTGGAGTGCACCTTGTAGCCTCCCATTCACCATATCACTTATTTTCCAAGCAGATACCCTCCCCCCCATTTCCCTGATATTTCCCTGAGGGGTGACAATATTGAATCAAGGATCTCATGCAACTGTCCAGCCATATGTCTTATTGCCTGAGAATGGATCCACACTTAAACTAAAAAAAAGTACATAAAATAAACATGACCGGCTGTATCATTCAGATACTGTTTAATCTGGCACTCAAAACCCAGCATTGTTCAGTAAGATTGGTATGCATCCTTACATAACAGAGCACCAGATGACCGCAATTAGACAACATCTGCCGCGATCTGATTGAATGCACGGCTTCTTAGATTTCATGTCTAAGGAGTTTCCAAGAGCACATGCTTGTTGTCAGATTTAAACTGTAGCAATTTACATGCATTCTTCTGAAGGCGAGGGGGAAAAAAATAATAAAGGGCCATCAAGTTCAATTATCAAGTATGCACAGTTGTTGTTGTGCATCCAAAATAAAGTCTCCAGTAAATTTGGGGGACTGCATTACTTCTAACAAAACCACAACACCTTCCAAATGGAATAATCGTGCTACATGCTACAATTGTGTTCAAACAAACTAGATGGTAGCTTAATGGTTGCAACAGACCTCCTGACTACAACCAAAAGATCACAGGTATGGACCAGTTATGTGTCCGACAGCAGCTACAAACACAACAGTAGTGTTTTTCAAACGTTTTACACTGCGTACCACCTCAGAAAATATCGATAGACAAGTTCCAGTGTCAGTCAGGTTTAAGTTTATTTATTATTGATTGCTGTTGAATTTTGATTGGAACTAGTTCAAGAATCAGAGCTAATTTGGTGGAAAAGGGGAAATCCTGATCAAACTCTTATCTTCCATTTGCAGCCACAATTGCTATGTTTTTACCTCCACTCACTATTTTGCGATCACATTTTCAGCTCGCAACTACCATAGTTTGAGAACCAGCACACAGCAGTGTATGGCCAAAAAATAGTATGTAGACACTCCTGTCAACATTGTCTGGGGATGTTAGGCCCCTTAAGCTGCCAGGATACTCAAATACATTGGAATAGTTTCAGGAACACCCTCCTCTCCACACCTTTCCAACACCAGATTAAAAGAGGACTGTGTCCAATCATTTCTGTAACTTTCCGAAAACCAACCGTCCACCATTCACAACCACTTCACGCCATGGTTATGTGGAGGACCGTGAGAGGATCCAGGGTTGGAACTCTTCTCTCTGGCTCTCTTTTTTTCATTCTTTATATAACTATTTCTGTAGGTTTCCATGTGAATAATCACGTGCAGGACTATGAATGTCTACCAGAAGAGACTAAAAACGTCTCCCAATCCCTGTAGAGGTCGAACAACACATTGTACGAACTACTTTCGTTCAAGCATAACCCAGCTTTACTTCCACTTTAGGTAAATCTGACAATAACGTACAATAATGTCATGATTTGTTGCTTTTACCTTGCTTTTGGGGGGGTTGGAGTAACCGCATGTGTCACATTAAGCCAAGGGAAGGACTGATGGCAAGAACTGTCTCTCCCTGATGACTGAACCCGATGGGAGGGGAGCTACTCATCTTTTCCCTGGGGGAGGCAGAGACACAGAGGGAGTTATTTCAATTAGCCAGATACTGCCTCAACAAAAAGCCCCAACCTGCTCCCCGCTGCACCTCCAGCCCGGCCAGAGACAGCTAATCAAATCAAGACGGGGATGCTGCAGACAAATAGCCTGAGAGCACTCTGCAGTTTGAGAGCTGAGAGCTTTGCTAGGGAATATGTCATATTTGAGTGGCACATTTGGAAGAGCAAATGGTTCTGGGTTGTGTTTAGAAACATTTTCTTATGAGCTGGGGGTAGCAGAGTGAGAAAAAAGTGCTCACCAAAATTATTAATGAACGTGTTTTACACATGTTGCATAACTGTGTGGTTAGTAGTGTTGTTTGGGGGCATCACAATACTGTATGTCAGCCCGCCAGTCATCCACATTATGACAGCAAGATTTACATTTTCTCAGCTTCAACCCTGATCCAGGGTTTGGGGATTTGTGGTGGTCTGGGTATAGCTTTGTTGTTCACAGGTCTCTTTCTAATGTCACTTCAAAGCCGTGCACAATCTGGGCCAGAGGGGGTTTAGCCTGGCTTGACCAGGCACACTTCCGCGCCCCTTTTCATGTTTGGCACTCCATTTCTCTCTCTGACGAGCAGTAGGAGCAGAGCGTGGGCCCCTGAGCACTAATTACAGGTCACCATGTCAACTAAGAGGGGCACTCCCCACTTTCAAAACCTGTGGCTGACATCATGAAAGGGGGTGGACGGCGCTTGAGGAGAAACGTGAGAATCCAGTTCAGAAGGAATTTATCTTAATAAACATGGAGATGAGGCATGTGTGCATTTATTATCATGGCACAGCTGGTGTCCACTCAGAGCCTTACATTGTTTCTACTTATGTAAGTCTGGCAGTGCTTTAATATCGTTGCATCTTCTTGGCTTCCCACATTCCTAGTTTCCCTGCTAACTACTCTTTGGCTCAGGTTTTAATTAGATCTCCTTTTATTGCTTGTTTATTTTAGGCCATCAATGATTCAATAGCCTTGATGCTGTAATACGTTACAAATAAGCCAATCACTAATAGCAAAGTTAATTATCGTGAATCTTTTTTTGTGCACTATTTAATATCATTTAATTGAGCTATTTGTCTCAATTTAATTAAACTGACTCTCCCAACAAAAACGCACTTAATCTGCTTTAATATTCATGTGTAGGCACTTTGACCTCTCATAAAGTCAAAGTCATCTTCACGATAGGCTGCATTATGATGATTATATGTCTTATGATATCATATAATTGGGTATATAGTCTTTGGCATCCTTCCTTTATCCTTGTGGGAAAAGGTTTATTATAGGGTTACTACATTTTTCATAACAATCCTGGTTAAAAAAAAAAAGGCATATAAAAGAAAAACCAGCAGCGGAGTGTTGGTAAAAATAAACTGCCCTACATCACAAAACTTTTAATACATACAGGCAGACGCCGGTACTATTTCTCCCCCGCCGACTGCTGCAGAGCTCCGGTCGGGATCAGTCGGGAGGAATGGAATGAGAGGCAGCCGTGGGCGATACCAACTCGCGGCGTCCAGTAGGGGTGTGCTTACTGCTACCACCGCCGCAATCCTCCGTATTAAACCGCGTACACGCACACATACACAAAACGAGGTAAGGTAAATTAAGAGCATATATTTTAATGTGTTTGTGTATGTTTTTGGTTATGGGTATTTGAGTGGTAAAAATAGTAATCATCCCGGGTCTCCCCCCTTCGCTTCCTGCGCTGCCACCCGCCGCACATGTATTCCTATCTACTTGTTAGAGCTCCAGCGGGGACAGAAAGTGGCTCCGGTCGACGGCGGCAGGACGGCGACTCTTACTCTCACTGAAACTTACTCAAGTCTTCCCCCTAAAAAAAAAAACTGTGGATTTCTTTCCTTCTGTGGTTTTGTTTTTGTGTAAATTAACCCCTTCGGATTAATCTTTTTTCTTTTTAAAGAGGAATAACTTGTTCTCATTAAAAGGTGAGTTTTGTTTTTTCTCCACTAACCGGATGCTTTGAGTGCGTTTTATCCGTTTTTGGTCCATCACACTCGGGGAGACTTCAGCAGCAACTGCGACGTCTCTTCAGCAACTCGTATCTATTCAAAAGGTGTATAAAAATGGTGATTTTATAGATGGATCTGTTTATATTCGTGTCTTTCTTTCTAAGTTGTGTTGGTTCATGCTCCAGTACGGGTGATGCTGCCAGGATATTACACAGGGACTGTTGCCATGAAATATGAGTAACCCGAGGTTTTTTTTCCCCTCCTGTTAGTTGAGACATTTTGTCTTTAACTGATGTGTTTGCAGACTAGTTCAACTGATAAAGTTGGATAGATGAGTGATAACTTTATACTGTGCACTATCCCGAGTCAAAAAGTGCTATAGGGACTTTCGTTTAGGATTCAGATACATGTCTAAAAAAATCCTATAGGAATTATATAGGAAATAGTCTTTTAGGATTTTCACAATCCTATTGGAAATCTTTTATTTCCTGTTGGAAATTATTATCTAAATCGCAATCTATACGAATATACAATATGCAAAGGGTAAAATATGACAAAACAGCATTGTAATAAAGTACTGTAGTGCTGCAGAGGTGCTCTGATTCTACCAGTATTGTTTTACAGAGTTAAGAAAACGTGTTTGTTCACTATAATAGTTTTATTTTTTAGTGAAAATTCAATTTGTGATGCAAAACTGATCTTTCCCACATAATCGTGAATCGTAACATCTGCCCAGAATAATCGCAATATGATGTTTTTTCCATACCATTCCATATTGCCTTTATAAGTAAAATGTTTGGTTCCTGTAGGATTTTCATAATGTTATTGGATCTTATATATAGTGTCATAGAAGGCTTTCATTAATTTTTTTACAAGAATTGCCAATAAGAGTCCCTTTTTAAAACCTAAATTTGGCTATAGATTGTTGGAAAATCATGTTTCTAGTAGGCCTGTGTATTGGCAAGAATCTGCTGATACGTATCGTGATACAGAGGTTACGATTCAATATACGATGCAATACTGTAAGTAAGGCGATTACATCTAATGTAGTGTAAAGAACAACCCACCAAATGCATCAAATCTGAGTAAACAGTGGGATCTGCATTTGAATGTATCATAGCCCTCAGTTTACAATCAGTTTCATATTCTTGACTCCCCATGCTGCCCATCTGTTAACCAATAATAAATCATTACCATAGAGAGACACCTCGATGTCACGTAACTTAATCCTCTCATACTTTTAAAAAACCTGTCGTGCAAAGTTAATATTGTTTCTGTATTGTTGTTGGTAGCAATAAAGTAAATATCTAGTTGGAAAACAAATCCTCTCTTTTGTTATTGTTGTATGGTTACCGTGCCAACAATACCCCATACATCCACCGACGTCCAATCCGACAGTACTGCGAAGTAAATGTCTCGAATGTCACAAAATGATGTGTAACCTCCTGTTCAAAGCTGCAAATTCCCCCATTTCTTCTCTCCTGAACAAACTGCTCAACAAAGTTGTTTTCTTAGCACTCAGGAATGCCAACAATTTCCCCTCTGTTTAATATTAGACCAAAGAGCAATCAGGGAAAAAACAGGAATGGGAATCCTCACAAAGCGTTGGCTCATTATAGGCTGCGGACATTGTTTGGCTCCAGCACTTTTCAACAGATTGGGTGATTGATGCTGTGATTTATAATAATAATTCTCCTCTCACTGCAAATATCTTGTTTCCAGAGATGTGAGAGTCAGATGTGGAGTGCTTCCTGAAGCTACTGGGGAACTTATCTTACTCAAGGACACTTCAGCAGCGAGGACGCCTCTGCCATCTGAACTTGTGACCTGTGATTTAACCTCCCTGTCACTCATACGTCCATTGCCATTGTCATAATGAGTTCGTTTATGTCACGTAATAAATGTTGTTGCACGCAGTACAGACGTCGCACGATGTTGGTTGCAGTTCTCAAACTTGCAATTTACAAATGAAAGCCGATGATTTGCTCTGCAGACATCCGTACAGTCAGTCAGGGGATCCCTCGCAAGGAACTGTTTACACTTGAACCTCATCCAGTACACATGGTAGGTTAATCAGCTACCTTGGCAGCCCACTCCCCAGCATGCCCATCCAGGTCTCTGCTTCAGCTATGGGTGAGGGAGGGGGGAGGAGGAACGGAAGGAAAACAATTCATGTTTTTGCGATCGCAGCACTGTCTTGGCTCGGTTGTTGTAACAGAGCAAAGTGAATGGGAGAGAGAGATGATGGTGCAGGTGCTGTCTGGACAGGAAGAGCGCTGCTTGCGTAGGAAACAAAGAGGAAACGTGTGAACAAAGATGGTCGGTGTGTGAGTGTGTGTCGGTGACTCATTCAGATGAATCTGTTGGAATGTGTGCTGGGATGGCCCATAATTGCACAAGGCAATCCCCCTCCCACGTATAACTTTATATGAGCAACGGATATGTTTTGCTATCTGGAGCCTTTAACCTTTACTGTGCTGACATGGAGCCACAGATGGCGTATGACATTACTCGTTACAAACACGCTTTTCGTGAATGCCGTACCTTGTTGTTTTTCTGAATCTATCGGTGATTTCCTCCGTATTAGCTCAGCATCAAAAGCTCAGCTGGATCCTTAGCCTCTGGGCCGGCTTTCTCTGATGCTAAAACTCTGCAGTGAATACAAAAACTGTACCTGAAGCTGAAGGAGAATCTGCGGTGCTGTTCATAGCTAACTGTTATACACATTTTACATAATCATCTCCTCACGATGCAAATTTTCCCAGGGAAGCCTGATACATGCTGTGAGGCCATTCCAGAGGCTTGTTTATAAAATGCTCTTTCCTCAATCTATCACTCAATCTGCCTTTGGCTTTGTATCTAAGAAGATAAGGAGTAAGAGGAACCGTGTTTTGAGTTCCTAATGTAACTGGGGAATGAGGGTGCCACAGGTTCATGAGAAAAAGATGAGATTACTGTTATTGACATAAAGAAAGAGATCGCAAACCGTCCGATTGCGTGCGTTAACTCCACTGTGTCTAGAGTATATGTGGGTGTGTACGCAGTCAAATGTCCTGCTTGGTGTAAGTTATACAGGTGCCCTAGGCTCCTCACTCATATCGCTCTGTATCTAGTCCATGGGACTGCTTTTGGATGCGAACCTTGTATCTCAGGAAAGTCAGCTTTTAAAGGGCTGAGAAAAACAGCCGGAGAGAAGGCTGTACGTTTTTTAAGATTAACCATGTGTGTTTTTTTGATTAGAATAAAGTCCCAAAGGAGACAGAAGAAGAAAAAAATGGGTCACTTCTTCCTGTATTTGTCTCCCTTTCTCCCCTTTCTTGGATTGTATTGTTTTCCTTTGCTTACTTGGCCTTCTCAGTGAAGCTTGAGTCCTTTTCAAGGAAGTTGACCAGTGATTTAACCTGCCTGCACCCCCTGACGATATTATCATCTTATCTCACACGCTTCTCACAACAGCTCCCAAACAGTTTCCTGTAGGATATTTAGTTGATTTTGGAATATTTTGTGGATTTTGGTAGGATTTGTTGCAGGCAGATGTGTTACTGAGACAGCAGGATCAGTCCTGGGTCGGTAACACCAGATACCAGAGTTTATGAATGAGTCTTAGCAGCATATTTATAACTCAGTATCAAAGTTGTTATTCCAGATGTCAGTCTTTTGTTGGGTTTTGTTGTAGGGTGAACAATTGGGCCAAATTATGGACTTACATTATCTTTAATTTGTCATTCCATTGAGGTCATTTTCGGATGTGTGTTTCATAGCTACAGGAAAAGCTGGCACGCTAACAAGTGACAGGGAGAGGTGAAACCATGCAGCTGTATGTGGTTGCACTCTGCCAACTTTCAAATATTTACAGGTACTTTTTTTTCCTTCCATTTCATGAAATGCTGCAGTTAACTTTCTGCATAGTTTATTGTTTTTCCTGAGAAAATAAGGCGAAGAACATTTCCGTCTTATGACTCTCCTCAGGCGTGACAGTGTAAACAATAGCAGACAATCCTGTTACAAAAGCTGCATGCAGGAAACAGATCAGATCACGAGCAACAACCTTTTTTATCCTGTCAAAACAGAAGATCCATGCCTGAAACAAAACAACAGGGTTCGGTTTAGGGTTTGTTATAATTGCAGCTCGTTTTTTAACCCTCTCCTTTAGGGCCGCTTGCACTATTTCAAGCATACGTAATGGTCGGGTTGACGTCTCCGCGGTGTGTTGCATTGCGATTGCTAGCTTGGTGGGGTTACTCATGCCCAGTCCAAGCCTGAATGCTGGGCGGGGAGGGAAGGGAGCGACTGCTGACTCTGTTCTAACATGTCTTTCAGTGCCGGCGGTTTGAGATTTGTGTGTGTGTGTGTGTGTGTGTGTGTGCTCTCTTACTCCTTGCTTGGAGCCACATGGAAGCCAGATGATATGAATGTTGAAATCATTTCTCCATATAGGTAACCGAGCTTAAGCTGTTCTTCGGTGTGAACTCATTAGTTTTTTGCACTTCGCTGCTTGAGAGCTGTTTGACAAAGAACCTACATATTTCATGTTCAAGTTCAGCGAGGGGTGAGGAATTGATAGAAAATAACACTTGAAAGACCTGTAGCTGGACAGTGTTGTGGATACCAGTGGATTTCCATGGTACTAGCACTGCAGCAGAGTTGGTAACAGCACTCCGAAACACATACACACCTACTTCTGTAACCAGTGGTGGTGATCAGTATTCCCATACAGACTGTTACTTGCTTCAGACATATTGCAGCTAACTTTCTGTAGTGAAAAAGCTGCATAATCTCACTTTTGTCATATTTCTTCTGTTTGTCAGACAGTGATCTCACCAAGACCAGTTGGCTCAGCTGTTATGTTTCAGACTGCAGTTCATTAGACTAAAAAACATGAGTTTTACACAAGGGTAAAGGCCTGAAAGTAGTGCCCCCTTTTCCACAATCCAGAGTCATTATAAATCACAATGTGTCACCAAGAATCCAAATCG